TAAATTCACTCATCAAACGTTATCTCTTTTATTCCTAATCCTATTCTCAATAGGATTAGTATTTCTTGGTTTCCAAGTTAACTTCAAGTTTACTTTCAACATTCTCCCTCTTAAACTTGAAGTTAGCTATATCTTGAATTCCCACAAGCTCTCTCATTTCTTTGTGCTTAATCCTACCAAGTGCCTTTGTCAATATATCTGCCTTCTGCTCTGTTCCTGGTATGTGTTGAACGTCTACTAACTCAGCCTCAACACACTCTCTTACATAGTGATAACGCTTATGTATATGCTTGCTTCTTCCGTGAAAGACAGGATTCTTTGTCAAGGCAATTGCTGACTTGTTGTCAATGTGTATTACAACCTTATGACATGATTCATCGATGACTTCTTCAAGTAGCTCCTGCAACCATATGGCTTGCTTGGCAGCCTCAGTTGCCGCCATAAACTCTGCCTCGCAAGAGGATAATGCCACTGTTTCTTGCTTAGTAGAATGCCAAGATATTGGACAATCATTCAAGTAGAAAATATGACCCGTAGTGCTCCTTCCATCGTCATTGTCAATGTTATGGCTGGAGTCGCTGTATCCAACAAGTTTCACGTTGCAGNAGAGAAAGAGAGATCAGGCCTTGTATGCAATAAGTAGCGCAAGCACCCAATGTTTCTTCTATACTCTGTTTCATCTATCCCTTTCTCTTCCGGAGCCTTTGATAAACTTAGACCAAACTCCATTGGTGTATGGACTGCATTACACTCCTCCATTCCTGTCTCATGTAGAATCTTCTTTGCATATCTCTCTTGTTTAAGAGTAATACCTTCATTGGTCTGTGTTACCTCAATGCCAAGGTAATAAGTTAGAAGTCCTAAGTCACTCATCTCAAAATTTTCGGACATTTCTTTCTTGAAGTCTCTGATCATTTTAACGTCTGAGCCACAAACAAGTAGATCGTCAACGTAGACTGCAACTAGTAAGAGATGATCATGAGACTTCTTTCGGTACAATGAAGGTTCTTTGCCACATCTTCCGAAGTTGAGCTGCTCTAGAACTTTATTTAATTTCTCATTCCAGGCTCTAGGGGCTTGTCTCAACCCATACAACGCCTTTCTTAGTTTATAAACCTTTTCTTCACCTCCCTTGACTTTGAACCCTTCTGGTTGGTTTACATATACTGTCTCCTTCAGATCACCGTGTAAGAAAGCTGTCTTGACATCCAAGTGATGTAATTCCCATCCTTTTGATGCTGCCAATGCGATGAGAAACCGTATAGACTCAATTCTTGCTACTGGAGCAAAGACTTCATCAAAGTCGATGCCGTGTCTCTGTATGTATCCCTTTGCTACCAGCCTTGATTTATATTTATTTATACTTCCATCAGAGTTCCTCTTGATCTTGAAAACCCACTTGAGTCCTATGGCTTTTGCTCCTTTAGGTAGATCAACCAAATCCCAAGTATTGTTTTTCTCTATAGACGCAATCTCTTCCTCACATGCATCTCTCCAAACTTTCTCTTCCATAGCTTCGTTGAAGTTCCATGGTTCCTCATTTAATGCTAGTAGTAACCGTTCTCCTTCTTCCTCAGCAAGGTATATGTAGTCGTCAAGATAGCCTGGTGCTTTCGTGATTCTTGTGGACCTTCTAAGACCTTCGTCTGCAATATCTTCAGTTACTGGTATAGCAACTGATTCATGATCTCTGAACTCACTCTCCTCTTGGTTGTTGTCTTCATCTATCTCTGGATCCTCTGTTATATCTTTATTCCCAAGTAAGCCAAAAGTAAGTTTGGTTATATCTGCTCCTTGATTTTCTCCGGTACTGTTGGTGTTCCACTTCCATGGCTCACTTTCATTAAAGATAACATCTCTACTCACCACTATCTTCTGTTTCACTGGATCAAACATTCTATACGCCTTAGAACCAGGTTCGGTTCCCAGATGAACTAGCTTTCTTGATCTATCGTCGAGTTTCTTTAGTAAAGAAGCATCTGTTTTTGTGTAACCAATACAACCAAACACCTTTAAGTGTCTAATACTTGGTTTCCTCCCTTTTAGTACTTCATACGGCGTCTGCAACTTCAGAGTTCGAGTGGATACTCTGTTAATAAGGTAACACGCATGTCTCACAGCTTCTCCCCAAAGATAGTTTGGCATATCCATATGCTTAAGAATGCTTCGAGTCATCTCTAATAGGGTTCTGTTTCGTCTCTCCACCACTCCGTTTTGCTGAGGTGTGTATGGCGCTGTTAAATGTCGTTGTATGCCTGCTTTCTCACAGAATTCATTAAACTCCGTTGATGTAAACTCTCCACCCCGATCAGTTCTAAATGTTTTGATAGTTGATTTTGTTTCTGCTTCCACTTCTCTTTTGAAAATTTTGAACTTTTCAAATGCTTCTCCCTTCTCTTTTAACAGAATAATCCACATATATCTCGAGTGATCATCAATAAGTACAAAGATGTACTTATTCTTTCCTGCTGTCATTGGTGTTATTGGCCCACATAGGTCTCCATGAACCAATTCAAGGAGCTCTGCAGCTCTATATGTAGTAGCTTGTGGAAAACTCTGCCTTGTTTGCTTCCCACGCATACAAGACTCACACATCTCTTTCTCAACTTCCATACTCGGCATACCTAAAACCAGTTCCTTTTGAACCATAAGCTTCATAGCTTCCACTCCTATGTGTCCTAGACGCGCATGCCAAGTTGTTGATTCTGTTTGAGTAGTTGTCTTCAGACATTCCATGTTGACTATCTCCATACGCACCTTATAGAGACGATTCTTTGACCTTTTTGCACCTGTAATAAGTCTTCCATACTGATCATGAAGTGTCAATGAGTCGTCTGTCATGCTTACTTTACAACCAGATTCAGTCGCTTGGCCTAGACTTATTATGTTACTTTTCAGATCCGGTATATAGTAAACGTCTGCAAGAATTTTCTTGTGTTCGTCTTGAGTAACAAACAGGATAGATCCCTTCCCTTTGATATCGATCTTGGAGTCATCACCAAACCTAACCTTCCCTGTGATAGACTCATTTAATGTCCTGAAATATGATCTATTTCCGGTCATATGATTGCTGGCACCGTTGTCTAGATACCACATCTGGTCTGTTTCAGAATTGGTCTCAAACTCCTTGGGTTGGACATTCTTCTCATTCAGATATACTATCTCATGCATAAGTAGCTTATCTGCCTGCTGTGTGTCTTCCTCCTTTGTCTCATAGGCCTCTTGTAACTTTAGAAGACGGTCTGGGCATCCAGAGGCGAAGTGTCCAAGCTTATCACATCTAAAACATACTATTTTTGACATGTCAAACTCTCTATATGACCTTCCTTGGCCACGTCCTCTGCCATAAAATCTTCCTCCTCTACCTCTGTTTCTTGTATCATTATAATCTCTATTTGGATAACTCTGAGATGATTCTGCCTTAGCATACATAAGCTTGCTTTGATCATTAGATGTCTCCTCTTCTTTACCTCGTACTCTATCTTCATAAGTTTTGAGCCGTCCAATAATATCCTCAAAACTGGCCGTCTTGAGGTCTATAAACTGCTCAATAGTAGCTACGATGTGTATAAATCTCTTGGGTAAAGATGAAAGAAACNATAACTCTGAGATGATTCTGCCTTAGCATACATAAGCTTGCTTTGATCATTAGATGTCTCCTCTTCTTTACCTCGTACTCTATCTTCATAAGTTTTGAGCCGTCCAATAATATCCTCAAAACTGGCCGTCTTGAGGTCTATAAACTGCTCAATAGTAGCTACGATGTGTATAAATCTCTTGGGTAAAGATGAAAGAAACTTCTTGATCATCTTTGGCTCATCTATATTCTCCCCTAAGGCTGATGATTTAGATGAGATTTCTCCCATTCTTCCTGCAAATAGGTCGATGGTATCATCATCTTTCATTAATAATTTATCAAACTCTGCCATGAGTGTTTGAAGTCTTGCTTCTTTCACTCTATCTGCTCCCATATGTCTCGTTTTGATTGCTTCCCAAACCTTGTTTGCACTATCCAAATCTCCTACTTGTAGAATTAGGGCTTCGGGTATTGAAGCAAAGATCAAGGATATAGCTGCATTATTCTTCTTTTTATCCTCTGTTTCTTGTTCAACTACCTCCCAAACTTCCTGCACCTTAAGTAAGACCTTCATACGGATTGCCCAAACTGTGTAGTTTGTAGTTGTAAGCATTGGACAGTGAACGATGGCTCCATCTTTTCCTCTCGTTGTTATTGCTGCTGTTGTTGTTGTGATTTCATTCATGTTTGGCTCTGATACCAAATATTGTTTGAAACCTAACGTAGAACTTTCAAGATCACAATTAAGACTAACTCAAATCTTATTAATAGCTTAAGAAAATATCTCAAAACTCAAGCTCTCACACAAGGATCTCTCACACAAACTCTTATGTTATATCACAAGTTGATATCTCCATATATATAGATCCTAGATTCTCCTAAATTCACTCATCAAACGTTATCTCTTTTATTCCTAATCCTATTCTCAATAGGATTAGTATTTCTTGGTTTCCAAGTTAACTTCAAGTTTACTTTCAACAAAAACATTGATTGAATATATGTGGGGAAGACAAGATTGATTCATATCATTTGTGACAATGACGGAGGTTTCGTATTGTCCGTCAATCCCTTCTTTTTCTTCCTCTCTATTCATTCTCGAAAGGTATTTTCTGGGCTCGATTTCATCTGATTCTTATTAAGGCTTATACGTGTTGTTGTGAGAGTTTTGAATGTAATTGGAAAGAAAAAAATTAATTTGAAGTCCCAAATGTATATTTCACGGATGGGTTTGAGTCCAAGTTTCCCGCCGTTTTCTGGTGGTTATCAGGAAATTCTAGGGTTAGGATTGGACATCGTCTTTCTCTAGCGTCTTCTCTTTCGAGATTGGAATTTACAGATCTCAAAATTTGTTTGCTATCATCATGGCTAATTGGGAGATCTGGGATTTAGGAGATTGATATTATATTCAAAATTCGATTGTGAAATGAAAGGCTCGATTCTCACGGTTTTGTCAATGGAGAATCATCATCATCATCACCCTTCAACGCACTTATCAATGGATTCAAGTGTCTCCTCCTCTCATGAAGAACTTGATTTGGAGATGAACAACAATGGTAGTAATCGCCAAATCACTCTTTACAACCCACCAGACATCAATCTCCCCTTGTCTGTAGGAAGAACCTCCATGTCTTGGAACTTGGATTCTTGCGATACCATTTTCGATGTTGGCCTTACCTCACAACATGACACTTTCCTCAACAACGTTGTTGTCCCTAGTAAAGTCAGTAAAAAAGGCTTGAAACGTGGTGATACTATGTGGGGAGCTTGGTTCTTCTTCAGCTCCTACTTCAGACCAGCCTTGAAGGAGAAGTCAAAGTCTAAGGTCACTAGAGAAACTAGTACTGGAGGAGGGTTTGATAAGTCTGATCTCAAGCTTGATGTGTTTCTTGTTCAGCATGATATGGAGAACATGTATATGTGGGCTTTTAAGGATAAACCCGAGAATGCTCTTGGGAAAATGCAGCTGAGAAGTTATATGAACGGGCATTCTCGTGAAGGGGAGCGTCCGTTTCCCTTTAGTGCGGAGAGAGGGTTTGTTCGGTCTCACAGGATGCAGAGGAAGCATTACAGGGGACTCTCTAATCCTCAGTGTCTTCACGGGATCGAGTTTGTGGCGTCGCCGAGTCTGTTGTCTGTCAGTGAAGATGATAAGAAGAGGTGGATGGAGCTAACGGGTCGAGATTTGAAGTTTACTTTCCCTCCTGATGCTAGTGATTTCGGTTCTTGGAGAAACGTTCCCAATACAGAGTTCGAGATACCTCATGTTGCTAAACCGGTTTTGAATAAGAAGATCCTTAATGGTTCAGGGTTGCATTTGACAAGCAACGCTTCTTTCAGTAGCAATGGTGACTCATCAGATCAATCTCCAGGAGGTGTAGGAGGAGGGAACAATACTAAGAAGAGGAAAGAATTCTTATCTCCTGGAAGCAGTGAAGAAGAATGTTGCTTGACTGTTAACAACATTGAGACCCATCCTGGTTGGGTAAAGGACTTCACTGGAGTGATGAAGAACGTTCACGGGCCTGCGACTGCAGCTAAAACCATCTACGAAGACGAAGAAGCTTACCTGGTCGTTGTAACTTTACCATTTGTGGATTTGAACAGCGTGAAGGTCTCATGGAGGAACAGTATCACCAACGGAATCGTGAAGGTCACGGGGTCAAGCACGTCTAGGGCACCCTTAGTGAAGAGGAGAGAGCGTACTTTCAAGCTTGTTGATGATAAGACGGCTGAGCATTGTCCTCCGGGGGAGTTCATGAGGGAGATACAGTTGCCAAATAGGATTCCGGAAGAAGCCAACATTGAAGCGTATTTTGATGGGATGGGACCGGTTCTTGAGATTCTGGTGCCGAAGTTGAAAGTGGAGGAAGAACATGAGGTTAGGGTTTGTCTACGGTCACACCACCTCGGAGGAGTTAGTGAGCTTAAGTTGACGTGATGAAAAGATGTAACATGTTTTTTATTATGTATTTTGTAGAAAAGCATTTTGTACAATTGGAAAATAAGCAGAAGTGCAATCCTCAGTGTAACCTATTGAGATTTTCTTTTATTTCTTTTTGGTCACAATGCAACTTTTTCACTTTTATTTTCTTATGTGTAGTGACCTGGTTGTCATCACACACTAGAGTATCTTTTGATGGACCTGCATAACCTATCCCAAGTTAAGCTTACAAGGAGCATGATCACAACAGCGAACTACATTGATTATCATCTCAAGTCTCAACCAGGCATTGATGCAGCTAACAACCACCGGGAAGAGGCAGAGAGGTTAAGGATGAATCTGCTCCTTGTGTGTTGGGTTTTCCATTAGAACATTGATGCAATAGAAAATAATTATAACAGAGCAGATGCAATTCAAACAGCCTGAATTTGGAGATTCACGAAAGGATGAATGCGTATGTGCTATCGTACATAACACGACGGACAAAAAAACTAACAGTAAATGCTCATGTGAAAAGTTGAACACAAAAAAATGCTCATGTGAAACAAATAAAACAGTAAAAAGAAAATTGGTTTATGGGAAGAAACTCATTTAGCTTCAACAATTCAGAAAAGCTAAGCGTGCTTACTCGCAAGCATCACAATATAAACTCATACCTGCGCGAATATGTTATAGCTTAAAACAAGTAAATCTGAATGATGAAAGCAATATGAAAACAAGTCTCTTTATGTATTCATAAAAAAGCACATTGTCATATTACATAACTGGGTGAAACATCTCGACTCTATGGAATGCTAAAGACATGCTGATTCCCGGACATAAACCTTTTTTTTTGTAGGAAACCAGCAAAAAGATCTGCTTTTCATTCGAACTTTGGGTCGGCGACGACGAAATGGTAAGCAATGACCAGAATGAAGATGAAAATGCCGAGAAAATTGGCAAAGAATCCGAGGTCTTGATCATCAAACATCTGTTTACATCACATCAACAATCAGAGAATGAAAGAAAGAGACTCATCAGATCTCTACACAATTTAATTAAAATTATCCTGGGGAATATAGATCCAATTCAGATCCTCAGGTTCCAACACCATCTAAAGACGAATACAAAAATGGCAATTCAATATGGAAAAATCTGTAGCATTTTACCTTCGAAAGCGTTGGGACGATGACTTTCCTCTGCGATTCTTCACTGGCGAGTCTAAAGAAACAGATCGTAAATGTGGAATAGAGGTTGGGGAAGACTCTGGTTAAGAAGGAGGTGGACTCGGTTCAGAACCGACGACGTTTTGTTGAACAGTTTACGACGTCGTTTGGTTATAATACAGAGAAAAAAAGATGTGGCTGCTGGGATTCGAGCCCAGGTCTCCACGGCCACAACGTGGAATTCTCACCACTAAACTACAGCCACTTTGTTGTCTGATGATCAAATAAATAAGATTCTGACGTAAGTTTCTCTTGTTCTCTTTCTTTTCCATTTCAAACTCTAACAATGCTGTAAACTTTGGAAAGTTTCATATAATTGCTACATCACTCTCGATATCTTCATTTTATCCCTTAATTAAAACCCTAGAAGGCCCTCTCTGTCTTTAAGGTCAACTTAATGCTATAATGGGCAATACTCCCTCTGTTCCTAAATAATCCATGTTCTAGACTTTTCACAAATATTAAGAAAACTCATTTAATTTTGATTGTAAATGCATTGTTTTTGTGAATAACAATTTTCCATAACTTTTAACCAATAGAAACTCAATAAACACCATTATTATTTTTGAAACTTACAATTTTTCATTAAATCATTCATTAAAAAGGTAAAAAATATATCTTTTTGGAACAATTTTTTTTTCTATAATATACATCTTTTAGGAACGGAGGGAGTATTATTAAGTTGTAAGCATTTGCATAGGATGATTATTACACATTAATTATACAACTTAATGCAAAATTGCTCTACGTTTTAGTGTTAATAATTAGGCACCTCGAATTTTGGGTATAACCTAATGCTATTGCTTATTTATAAGCACATTCCAAAGCTCTATAAAATCTGTATAGGAGATTCATCTTATGCAAATGCATATAACTTTGATTCTAGAGAGTTATTACTATTGAAATTCACTGTGCAAGCTTCACTATCTTCTTAAACACTAGACAGACAGTAGATGGAATATTGTTTTGCCTAAACACTTTGGAAGGGTTTGAGTTTCTCGGTACACATGATACTGATTTCTCTGAATTCAACTGAAAAAGGTTTAAAAAAAAAGCTCACAAAGCTAAAAATGCTAAACCCTGATAATGTCAGACCATTGACACGAAACTAAATAACATACTCATGCAAAAGTATATCAAGCAGTAAAGAAATACACATATAGTCTTGCAAATGGAGTTAGTTCCTCCTTTTAACTTGTTTCCATTGCCTCTTTGTGATACTTGTCCAATTCAGCATCAAGATCGTCAGCAGACACCTTTTCATCACGTCCTCTTCCACTGCCACGCCCACCACCTCCTCCTCTAGGTCCCCTACCACCACGGAAATTACCTCCGCCAAAACCACCGCGAGGCCGTCCCATAAAACCACCTCTTCCTCTCCCTCTGTTGCATAACAAGAATATTTAATGACTAAAAGGGTTCAAGTAATTAACCTATTAGTAACCACTAAGCTGACTCCAGGCTAACTAAAAAAGCCATGTCTTCAATAAACCAACTCAAGAATAAATGAACAACACATCAGCCATATCAAATAAATCATTTAAAGTATCATGACTGAAAACAACACAAACCTAAAGTTTCCATTGAAGTTCCCATTGAAGTTGCCATTGTAATTATCATTAAAGTTGCCAAGTATCCCATTTGAAGGAAATGGAATTTGAACAGGAGCAAGCATAGGAGGCGCTGGAGCTGAAACATTAGTTCCAACAATCTCAATCTTCATCAGCTTCCCATCAAGCTGAACATCATTGTACCGCTTAACAGCTGCCAATGCATCACCACGCCGTGAAAAAACAACCTCAGCAGTACCCTGAAAACAACATCAATCAGTTCAACCCAATAACTCTGTAGCAGAAGAAAGCTCATATCAAATACCTTGGATCTTCCACTCCTATCATAGTGAATCCCATAACGCTTAAGGTCACCAACCTCTGAGAAGAGCTCCTACAAAACAAAAACCCAACTAACATTAACTTCAAAGACACAAACTTTCCTCCTTCTAAACCAGACTAGAGACCTTAATATCCTCGTTGGAGACACCGTAATCTAAGTTGGAGATGTAAAGCTTCGTTCCAGTCTCAATAGAAGATCCGCCAACGCCAACACCAACGCCAGCAGACTGATGTCCAAAAGCAGCCGCCACACTAGCATCAGTAGCGAAAACGTCGTTTGCCCACATGGCGTCATGAGCTTGTTGAACCGGCTGTAACGAAAAAGATCTCAACTTTTTTGTTTTCTCATAAAAAAACCCTAAAGGAAAATCTCTGATCTGGAAGGAAGAGGTTATAAGGAGATTTAAAATCAATCGCTGACCCTTGAATACGGCGCCGTTCTGTTTCCTACTCGGTTAGCAAATCGTCTCGACGGACCTGAGCCACCTCCGAATCCGCGACCACCGTTACTAGTCTCACCGTTGCCTCGGCCGCGAGATCCGGTAGGTTTTCGATTGGATTTGATGAGGTCATCGAGTGACATGTCCAAGCCACCTGCCATCTTCGCCGGAGATTGATTTCTCTGCTTCTGAGATGCTGAGAAGAGAGAGAAGAAGGCAGCTAGGGTTTCGTTGCAGTGATTTAATGAAGTGTGGGAAACAAAGCTCAGAGAGATAGCGAGAAAATCAATCTTCTCGGGAGATTTACGATAAAAGCCTCGTAATGTTTGTATATATGTATTTGTGCCTGACACTCTTGTTCGTTACATTTTAGTCCCTTTTTATTCTTCATGGGCCTATTGAAATTGTAGAAGTTATCGGACCTTATTATGGGCCATCTATCCTCCTCCTTTGGGTAATTCCTCACGCTCGCTCAATTACCATTGCCTGCCTCCCATTTCCACGGAAGAGCAAAACATTAATTGATTTCAGATTCCAAATGCTCTTAATGATCCATCTTACATACGAGCCATCCTCCACTAATGTATCTTATTTTCATTGTGTTTATATAACAGTTTAACTGCTCGAACCTATTGGACATGACTATGAATCCGATAAGTGATAGAAATTAACGTGTTCTAGAGATTACAAAGAAATTTTCAAGGACATATACCTGATTCATATTCTTCGAAGTAAAAATGCCCGGGCAAACTTGTTAGCCCAAAAAACAAAGAACAAAAATCTTCTTTTTTCATATTCAGACAAAGAACAAAAAATAAACGAAGATGTTTTTCGGAGAATTAATTTGTCTGACCACAACTTGGTTTAGTTAAGTGTGTAGTTAACAAAAAAAAATGGACATCTTATGAGAAATGAGAAAATCAATAATTTTAGTGGAATATATTTTACTTGAAAATGGATTGAATATTTAATCATGAAATTGGCTTATTCATATTCTGCTTGATGTTGCAATATTGCCTTCTTGCATTTTTACTTATACCGTTGCCTTCCTTTTGCTTATCTTAAATAGTTAAATTTAACACATCTCTTTCAAAACCACTATAAAAAAATTTGGTTTTAATATATTTCATAACTATTATTTCTTCACTACCCATTTCAGTGTGCAGGATTTATCATAAACTTCAAAGCAATCACGGTTTGCACAATAAAAAAGCTTCAAAGCAGTCAATTCTTGACACCCAACATGGCGGCCTTAAGCCATGTGCTGCACGCATTACCTGTATGGGCACTGTATGTTACTAGGTTAATGAATAAATATGTACAGACCTAAACATATTAATATCAGTACGTTGGCAGTTACCTTTTTGGCAACCACATATTTGCGTCGCTATTTAACCGAATAATTGTGAAATCTGCTTTGTAATTTTAAAAGGATAATAGTAAACATGATATTATGTAGAATCACATATGAATTATAAAACATGAAATCGGTGTGAATAGTAATCTTGATCAAGGAAACGATGTGTTAGCAAAAAAAAAACACGATATGGTTGATTTTATCATGAATTGACCCATATATAGGTTCACAGAACAGTAACTGCTAAGACAATAATAGTTATTTTGTTAATTATATTAAGTGGATTTGAATTCTAATAATGATGCATCGACTATACTAATAGTCTAATACAAAACATAAAACTATATTTTCCTCATTGCTTTATCATATAACTTTAGCTAGTTAGTTGTATTTTCCAATAGTATTATTTAGTTGTAAACAAGGAAATAAATAGAGTAATGTATTTTATTAGGGGTCTCACATGGTACATCACTTCCCCATGCAACGAACCGGACGTCATGATCCACTGGCCGTTGAGAATAGTAAATGCTATTATTATTCTCTTCATCGTCGCCTGTCGTTATACACTGTGTTTTTGTGAGTGCGGGTGGCTTAACTATAGATCTAGCGATAGTAATTAACTACGTTGTTTATATGGTATATTTTACTAAAACCGTTATAAATATAGGTTGCTCCATTCTATTAATATATTAACTAGCCAAGTAGCCATTCGTTAGGACAACAATTTGCATGCTCGTAGGGGCGGACGTTAAGTTTCCATTGATCCGGTTAGATAAAAATTTGGGTGATGATGATGAACTTATACTTCTACCAAATATAGATTTAGTGCACCACAATTAGATTATTGAAAATGAATACATCAAACCTCTTTTATAAATGTAAAATGTATTTAACTTTTTTTATAAATGTATATATAACTCAGAAGTTTCAGACTATAGACTATTGGTCCATTACCTTCTTCTGTGTTCGTAAATCGTAATCACTATCTAATAATCACATTTAAGACATATTAATTCTCTCAAATAAATTTAATTAATGCACTTATTTAAAGAAAGTTAAATTAATGATTGGGAGATTTCAAAATGCCACTATATATACCATCATTTTGATATTTTATATTAGCAGTAAAATATTAACTTAATTTCCCGGTATGAAAAAAACCTAATGTTTCAACTCTCAAATCTGGACTTCGCAGTATAAGTTGTTCAGATCTCTGTTTTACATCATATAGCTATATCGTAAAAAATATTTTCTAATCAATATGATACAAATCTGGATAGTGGTGTGTGTAGTCTTGTGTAATTTTCTAACTGTATTTCTTCCCGCCAATTGGACCAGTTGACTAAATTACACCTAACAGTGTCATTATCAGGCTTTAAGCAATCAAGATATTGGAAGGCAAGAAAAGTAAATACATCCAAACCTCTTGGTTGGATTCTCTGAACTTGGAAACGGAAATTGGAAGGAACATCTATGAGAATGGGCTATGAATTAAATAATACATTCTGCATAGTTACTTTATATATCTTTAACTGCCGGTCAAAAACTTCTTAAACGACTCAAATATTTTTGAACTTTGTGTAAAGTTGGAGTTAATTTTCTTCGTCAGATTCTTCTTTTGCAAAGAAAATCATAATATCGTTTTTTTTTGTTCAAAAAATCATAATATCGTTAAACCATAGTTTTGTTATACATAGGTGTAGTTATCTTAGTTTGCATTCTTAAATTAAAAAGCGAGAGTATAATTTCTGTTTGTTATAAATAAAAATTGTTTTTACTAAAAATCATTCAGTTCCATATGAAAATTCTCGCTAGTTTTGAAAATATATACCATAAATTCAATTTGATAATTCTTAGTTGTAATTTGTAATGGTTTATAGTAATTGGCTAGACTTGCATAACCTCCCTAACTTTTTGAAAGAAAAATTTAAGTTAGGTAAATGCTTAATCCAATTCGTATAATTAGGAGGGATTTGGGTAAGTGGTAACTCACTCACTTGAAACATGTGAAGAGAGAAGGATATCAAAGTGGATGCACACTTGTATTATGTAGTAACCAACGGCTTCTCACCAACCTTCATTAATACTTTGGTCAACCCTATTTGATTCAACACTTAATATTCAATTGTTAGCCACCTTAATACCCTGCGTATTGTTTTCAAAACAATTAGGGTTAGTCATCAATCCCCAAGTGTAGCGTTTACTTCTATTACCTTTACTTGGATACACAAAAATCAAATTCCTTTAGAAAACGAGGCATTAAACCCCAAAGAAGGAGGGGAAAGTACTACCACTAGAGGTATAACTTGTCTGATAGCCAAAAAAAATCAAATAATTTTTATCACTCTGTAAACTACAAAATGTATAGACTATAGAGTTTGCAAAAAACTTGTATGCTTCAGAAATAATTTCGAATAGACTGGTTTTACTGTTCAAGAGACAAGAAACAATTGCTGTTGAAGTAAAACCCCAATGGTATAGTTTTATAGACCTTAACCAAAACTTATTGAGAAGTAGACATGCTTGATTTGACCTCGGAAAGTGTTTAACTCGAAAGAATTATACACGCAGCTGCCTAATTTGATTTATAAATCGTCGAAAATATATATTGGAGTTTATATGTATGTGAATAGTAAATAATTAAGTACACAAGTTATCTACATATATATATATGTATGTATTCAATTTTTGTGTGGATAGGTATGAGTGTGATATTTTGCTATTTACTATTCATAGATCCATTATTCACGTAATAATGTCGATGAAACTAGAAGACACCAAGAAGAAGGCATTAATGTCTTTGCCACTTATAAATATGCTTCTCTCGTAGTACCATATTATTCTCTAACAACACTCCTTTTAACTTGTTCATTTGCCTCTCTTTCCCTCTCTTTCTCTTTGGTTTCTGAGAGACGTTTGTGGATATCATAAAATACAGAGGCCACTCTAGTAAAAATGGGAATATATTCACTAATCACAGGGAGACGAGGACCAAGTGGGTTTGGTTCATCTACCACAGCTGAAGAGGTTACTCAAGGGATTGATGCAACTCATCTCACTGCAATTATCACAGGTTCATACATTTATGTACTGATGTACACAAACATATATACGTATATCTACCATAGGTTGATTGTTGTTAACTTTAGTTATGATAACATAACATCCATTTGACTAGACACATTGCATAACATAAAACACTAAATTATTTAAACAAATTAGTTGACTTTGGTTTGACATGTGATTATTATTGTAAAAGGAGGGACAGGGGGGATAGGAATGGAGACAGCGAGGGTAATGGCTAAGAGAGGTGTTCATGTGGTGATTGGTGCCCGAAACATGGGAGGTGCAGAAAATGCCAAAGCCGAGATTCTCAGACAAAACACAAACGCACGTGTCACCCTCCTCCACTTAGATCTCTCTTCGTTCAAATCCATCAGAGCCTTTGTTCGTGACTTCCATGCCCTCCATCTTCCTCTCAATCTCCTCATGTACTTTCTCTCTCCCTCTCACCCTTTTAATAGCGTTTGGACCACATTCTTTAGCTTTTAGATCATTGATATTACGTCATAGTGGTCCAAGAATATGGCATCCACATTAACAGCTTTAAGATCGTTAGAGCATCTCCATTAGTGAACCCCTCTTGGGGTTCATATTTTTAATTTTTTATTATTTTTTTTGTACTGTTTGCTTTTTAAAAAAAAAAAATTAATCGAACCAATGGATGGTCGACACGTGTCGTGAACAGTGTTGAACCCGTTGGACAGAGGTTCACCGGGAAGAGCTCGAAAGAGATGGGATTCAACACTATTCATTATTTTAATATTTTTTTTCTGGAAAAGTGTGTGAATCCCATAGGGAGTTCACTAATGGGGATGCCCTTAGACTTGTTTATGTTACCATTAGTAACATCTGCTATTCGATTTTTAACATTTCTATCCAAAAAATACCTGCTGTGCAAGTAAATAAAATATAAATAACATCCAACATTTAACTTTTTGGGTTTGATGTTCAGAATATGACAATAAAACGACCATAACTACTGTGAATGCTATTAATATTAATATTTCAAGACGAGGCACCATTTAACTGTTATTGATTGTATAAATTCCCTATTACTCTAATCGATATAATTTGTAAAATATGTTATTTGCAGAAACAACGCAGGAGTAATGTTCTGTCCATACCAACTCTCTGAAGATGGAATCGAGTTGCAGTTTGCTACAAATCACATTGGTAATATATTTATGAAAACGAGTCCTTACTATGTAAAGTTAAGAAGCATTAGGTTTGTTTTTTTATCCAGAAAATAAACCTTAGATTTTAAACATTAATTGATGAGCGTATACTATCTAGGTCATTTTCTGTTGACAAACTTGCTCCTAGACACAATGAAGATCACAGCCAAAACCAGTGGTGTTGAAGGAAGAATTTTGAATCTATCATCCATAGCTCATATATATACTTATAAAGAAGGAATCAAGTTCGACAGCATCAATGACATATGCTGGTAAATCGTAGGCTTGTTTCCAAAACCTTTTGATTATTTTGAATTTTGCAACGGCTCTGTGAAACATGCATTGATTAAAACCACTATATATTAACATTTACATTGCATCTTATAGCCATATCATTTTGCTTTTCAGTTACTCGGATAAAAGAGCTTACGGGCAATCAAAACTAGCCAATATATTGCACGCGAACGAGCTCTCCCGTCAACTTCAGGTCGCCTTCGCACACACAAACATATACATCTTATAAGTGTTATTACTTAATAGATTCTATAGAGAGCACATATTTAGAGAACTCAATCTTTTTGGGACATTGTTTTGTTTGGTAGGAAGAGGTAGTGAACATTACAGTGAACTCAGTGCACCCTGGTCTCATCCTCACCAATCTCTTCCAACACACTGCTCTTTTAATGAGTAAATATTATTTCTCTGTTTTCCTTCATATTATTTCCTTTAAATTTTCACTATTAAATATTTTAAGTTTTTAACCCCATTTTCACAGGGTTCTTGAAGTTCTTCAGCTTTTACTTGTGGAAAAATATACCTCAGGTACTAAACTAACAGCAACCCAGTACTAAGCCAGATTAAGGATCTAGTTCTATGACTATGCTACTAACCATCTCTTAGACTTGTACTTAACATGTGAGAAACAAATACGAATATGAGATTGTGATACCCCGTGTGTTCATGTTACCAGGGAGCAGCTACAACATGTTATGTTGCTCTGCATCCAAATCTGAAGGGAGTAACAGGAAAGTACTATGCAGATTGCAATGAAGTCACTACAAGCAAACTGGCTAGAGATGAGACTTTGGCACAAAAACTCTGGGAATTTAGCGTTAAGCTCATCAACTCTGTTTCTAAAAAGAACTACTTGGGTTATGAGGACACCATTTATTGAGATAATACGTATCTCTTGTTGTCACTTAAAACCTATAAAAGTGCAAAGCATGAGTGAGTTTTGGATGTGATGTACCTTGTTTTTCAGATAAACATCAGATCGATGGTAATAGTGTTAAACATAATTTATCACCTTCTCACAGTTTTTATCTGCTTACTTTTGTCTTCTAGTTCTCCCTAAAAAATTGGATCCACTTTTTAATCATTTCAATATCATTGAGTTTTGCGTTGATTTTTTTTTTTTTTGGTCGTCTCGTCTATTGATATTTTAATATAAATATTTTCGTACTTCAAAGCCTTTTTCATTTTTCAATGTCCACGAATCTCCCAGTCGACGTTAACCATAGCATATAAGATTCTGAAGAAAATTTCAATACTGTAATTTTCTAAACATGAGATTCTCAATCGTTTACAGTTCGCTTCGGTTATTTTGTCACGTTTTAGCAATTAGTTCAGTATCAGAGTTTTTCATATGAATTCAAAACTATAAGATTCACTTGTGTTCTTCTTGCATTCAGCATTATCAGAAGCCCGAAATCATTTAACATATTGAAATAGGATATTACGATTGATTCATTATCATATAAGTCATTTTACAAAAGACTGATTATTATGCGTTATTAGAATAAAGACAGGGACAGGTTTATGCGATGATAGTAGGCTTAAACATTAAGTAAAAGAAAAAGGAAAACACAAATCAATTAGAAGAGGCTTTCCCTTCCTTGCTAGCATTGTCATCTTTCTTGTCACCGTTTGCTGGAGGAGCAGCAGCTGGAGTAGGCGGAGGGATCTGATGGCGCGGCGTCTGAGAAGGGATGGAGGATGGAGGGTTTGCTGTTGAGGGATCCTCGAAGGAGATCGGAAAAACGCTCAGAGAAGGCCTTCTCTGGTGACGGTTTGGTTTCCCAGACATAGTTAGGTTATTCAGACAAGGACTGGGAGCAGAGAGAGAGAGTTTATTGTTCTGAGTGGTGAGATTGGGAGAGAGAGAGAGAGAGCGTTTATATAGAGAGGGTAAAGAAAAACAAATGGGGTTAGGTAGACGGTGATTATCCTAATTCCGAGCATATACATTAGTCAATTTCCATGCAGCTAGTATTACCTTTTAAAGCTCACTAAATTTATTACACAATTAATGAAAACTATGAATTGAAAAAATATTGATTAAAAATTTTATTTAAATTCTTTGGTTATATCTTTTAGTACTCATCTCCAATATTTTCATAGCTTTCCAAATTAGCCAAGTTCTGTGCATGGTCAAATGATTCATATGCATAGTTATGAATTGTCTACGAGAAGTCAAAACGTATTTATAACAGTTACCCTAACAGTCTACCATTAGTTAGGCAATTCTATAACTAAGATTGACCATCAAAAATTGTTTGTAAAACTTCTCCAATAATCATCAAAGTTCATTGCATTTGATGAAAATATGTATAATAAGTCTGACAGATATTAAAAACTCCCGATAAGCTTTTCTGAAGTAACAATAAATTAAAAGTTCACAATTATGTTTATTATTGTAATAACTTTTGTCTTTTCCTGTCTAGATGGCAAACATTTCTTCCTCCATGTGAGGAGATGTCAGTCTGATTGAAGGTAACTACTGTTACAAGTCCCATAAAGCCATGCAGACACGTATGCAAAAATGTATTTAATTTTCTGTGTCTGAATTTTTCTAGTTGATAAGATTGATTTAAATACTCAGATTGGTGACTTCTCTTTCACAAATACATATGCTGATTAAAAAAAAATTGAAATGAGAGCCAGTAGATATTGTTTCCTATAAACATAAACTGTTGTACGCATATATTAAAGTCAGTGAGGTACCTTGGGAATCATACATGTTTCTGAAAATCGACGTGTTACATTGTAAATATCCGAATAACTTGGACTGATTTGTCTTTTTGGATGTGCTCTCATCTTATGAAGGTTACATTCAGTCTATAAATAACTCGGATTTGCAAAATTTTGCAGAATAGTATTTAATCTTTTCAACGAATGTTAATAAATCTCATCGTTAAATTTCCATTGTGATCATTTACATCTGAGGTTCTCCAACTTGCTGGTAACTCTAAAAGAGATAACAAGATCATACCATGCCATTTTCCGTTAGCCAGCCGTGAGGAACGACAATGAGCTATGAATGCTGCTAAAACACATAACAATCGCTCAAGGTGGTGTTTTGCCCTAAACATAAACCTAAGGTCTCCTTCGAAAAAAATCTGAGAAAGCAGCTTCAAAAACTAGCAAATCCCCTAAGAAGGCATAGTTCTCACTAGCTTTCCTTCTTTTTCTTGCTCTCTGTATAACTTGTAATCTCTCTCTCTCTCTCTCTCTCTAGGACACATCTTAATTACTTTTGTTGTAAACTGTTCATGATTCCAGTAGGCGCCATTAGTGAAGCGGATTCGAGAATACAGTGAAAGATTGAACGATAATAATTCTGGGCAGTGAAACTATGAATGAGATAGGGTTTCGAAATATGACAGGATCACTTACGTGTCTATTTTTTGTTCGTCAGATGAGAAACCAGTAGAGTACAAATTAACCTTTGGTCTCGCACCGCTGCACTGGAGTCGGCCTTATTGGGCCTTGAGACTAATATACAAGTACATGTGAAGATCGTTTTGGCCCGTAAACAATGTCGTCATGAGAAACTCTAATAAACACTTGAGCAAAATTCCTTTTTTTTTTTTTTTTTTTTTGTATATGTGATCACAAAGCTAGTATAAACTTTCTTTCGGTTTCATTTTCATTTTCTCTGAAACTATTTACATAGTTTCAACTGTTTCGAGGATAAACTTCTATCTAGCTTTTCTTTTGTGGATATGCATCTATTATATTAAAAGAGAAGTCATGACTCACTTCATGTGTGATTTTTTAGTTTGGACCATCCTTAGTAATTTTATATAAATTTACATAACATCATTATAATATCTTTTCATATCTTTAATTTTTATTTGAAATACAAATAAATAATTTTAAGAAAATTCTAACAAAATCTTTTAAAAATCTTATAGAATCTTTTCAAGATATAGTTTCAAAAATTATTTGATTAAAAATTTAATTATCATAGAATATTATTAAAATTTTATTCATATTTTTAACAAAAAATTAAAATTATGTAATATACTTTTAACAATATCCCAAAATTTTGTTTATGTATTATGTAGGTCCAATTTAATTTAATTTTTTATATATTTAAAATTTAGAAATAAAAAAAAATATAAATTAGTAATGTTACATAATAATGTTTTTAAAAATTGTTACAAAATACTAATTTAGAAATTGTAAATTAAAATATTATAAGCTACATAAATATTATTATAAAATTTGGATAGTATATACAGTCAAATTGTATTTATTTATTGATAAATTTTACTCCCTCTGTTACTTAATATATGATGTTTTGGATCATAGCACAAAAATTATGAAATTTACATTCTCTTACAAAAGTATTTTTAAAGATATAATTTTATAATCATTCAACAAATTATTAAAAATAGTAAAATTTTATCGGTTGAACAGTTTCCAATAAAATTAAAGATAACTTTAAAACCTCAAAATATACCTAAAAATCTCAAAACATCTTATATTTTGAAATAAAATAAATCTTATAAAATATCATCTATTTAAAACGGAGTGAGTATTATATAATTTCAAATATTTTCGTATTACAATACCCGCACGGTTGTGCGGGTTGAGATCTAGTTACGATTAAATTAAAGGTTTGTAAATAGAATAGTGTTTATGCAAATACTTGCAAGAGAATATAGTTGCATTCTAGATAGAAAGTTATCTATAATGTTCAAAAAAGAATTTATCTATACTATTACCTATATAAAATGTGTAGATTATGTTTTTCATATTCTAAGTATTTAGTGTGAAACTGGTACCAGCTGCATGATGGATGAGTTTGTAATTAAGAACTATAGTGTAAATAAATTATATATAGTAAGTGAATTTATGAACTTTTGATGATTGAAACTTTGTACCAGCTATTGAGTTCCCAAGAATGAGTTCTTCGATAAACACCGATACCAAACTTAGTGGTCCATCCCGTTCAAGAATCCAACAAAAGAGACCTCCCAAGATGTGGGGATAACTCCTACGTACGTATAGAACTCATATCCAAGTTTACTTAAGTACGTCATAATTGTGAGGAACTCATATCTCGTGTGGGATGAGGTTACTTGTGCAATATATGTGATGTGGCAATCCTTCATTCTTGAGGTAACTTTTAGGAATGATTTATATTTGTAACTAATATGATATTAATTAGATTCCATGGTAAAAACCTAGCGTATGATTGTACTGGACCGTTTTTTACCTATATTTCGAGAGAAGCTATTAATATGTTTCACATCGTGTGGAAATAGGATCCTTAGGTAATATATATGTGATATGACAATTATCCACTCTAATTTTAGAGTTAGCTTTTAGATGTGAATTATGTATATTAACTAAATTTTGGATGCTTTAATACTTTTTCAAATCTGACATGGAAGAAAGAAAGCAACACAGCTGCATTTGGATGCATTTTCGAGAATAGGGAAGGAAAAATCATCTACCAAGAATCACATGCGGAAAGACATGTATTATCACCCCGCATCGCAGAAGCTCTTGCTCAGCGCTGGTCAATCATCACATCTCATTCTTAGGACTACTTTTGAATATGTTTCAACACATATTGCCAGTCGCTCTTAATAGCAATTTCTTTGGAGGCTCTTTCGGCTGACCTCTATGGGATCATATAGGACACTGAACATCTATCTTTAAATTTCTCTTCTGTTTCCTTTGAATTTGTTGTGAGATTTATCAACTCCTTATCCGATCAGCTTGCAAATTGTTCCCTCCTCATCCTTTTAAGAGGATCTTTATAATTAATAAATGTGGTGTTCACAAAAAAAGAAGAAGCTAGTTTTTATCCTATCAATTTGATTTGGTTAGGTACAGTACATACTATTGATGGAATGATGGATTGGGATATAACAAAAAACATTTTCATATTATTGGATTGAAAGTACAAGTGTAATTATGTTGTTTTTCAACCAAACGTTTTGTCAGGGAATTGCATTTCAAATGTTCCGGATACACATACACACACACACTCTCATTCATGATATGAGCATTTTCTTGATTTATAGTTTACAACAAAGCTACATAATTATTGTTAATAAAACCCTTAATTAAATCTAACCACACTTTTATTTGTAAAACCTAATACTAAGGGACTTTTTCTTTCTTCCAATATACTCTTTTGTTTTTGTTTAGCCCTAGTTAGGATCTACATATTGTAAAACCCAGGCCATGGAATCATCTGCTACTTCCGTTTTTATTAGGTGAGTGAGTCCAACGAGATAAAAAATGATTTAACTAAGAAGGGAAGTTATCTAGCAAAACTTAATGCAATGCTACAATAAAAACAATATAAGTGGTTGTAGAAATATCACTAAAATTGTGTTCAGAAAAAATAATAGGATCATTCATACATTTTAACTGTCACGGACTATAACATGTCAACAGTCAACTTAAAACGAATGGTCGGTCATTTGTACGAAGAGAACATGAAAATTTTCGACACAAGATCATGTCGATTTACTTAAATAGAAGATTTTTTGGAATTAGGTGGACATTACTACAGAGAAAATACAAAACAAAATAGAACTGATTAAAAGTTCATAATAGCAGTATTAAAAAATGTTTATTAAATAAATTCATATTAAGTTAGGTCCTGCTGTAGGATTCCTACTTCACGTGGTTACGGGCCCCCATCGCCACGTAAGCTTACGGGTTGATAGCTTCTCGTAAAATCTCTTGTAATCTCCTCTCAACCAATCATAAACAGAAGCCCACGTGGGATAATCGGACCCAACACAAGTTCACTGTTACAAGTCAGCGCTCAGCAGCTGAAACAAGCAGGTAATCAGCACTCTCGTTTAGATTAAGGATAAATATATTTTATTACTTAAAACATTAGTGATTAGTGAATATGCCATATTGATTTACGGTATTAAATCTCTCATTCCTAAATACTGTATAATATGCTATTTTTTATTTTCTAAAATTGTATTCTTCTTCTAGTTAACAATTATCGCGCTGTATAGTAGACACAAGTAGCCGATTCCATGAAGGAATACCTAAACATGTTAACTGAAACGAAAATAAAAAATAATATTATAAGTTGATTTGGATTTTAAATATCTGTAATCAACTACACAAATAAAACAAGCCCTGTCCATTTTAGGTTAACTCCATGACTATATATACTGAATGATTTCTTATAGATATTTGTCTTATATATATTTTTAATGTGCATTTCTTCTTTTGCTGTCTTGTAGTGTTGCCACCTGCCTGTCTTCTCCCTTTCTCCATCATCTCTCCAATTGCTTCTCTATATAACAAACTACTCTTTAGATCATTATCATATCATGGGTGATCATAGCAGCTCACAAGCATCTTACATCCATTTGGTAATGATTTAATCAAACTTGTTTTTAATTTTTCTTCTTGATTCAATCTCTGATTTTGATGCTGATCATATGATGATATAAATATTTGATCTTCATTCATCATCAGACTATATAAATGTGTGTTTATGGGATGCAGGTGCATCATTTGATAGAAGAATGTATAATCTTCAAAATGGGCAAAGAAGAGTGTATGGATGCTCTGTTCAAGCATGCTAATATCAAGCCTGTCATCACTTCCACGGGTACATATACACACACACACATGACACATAGATACAGTATATGGAACTGGTAGATATATATTGATTAATTTTGCAGTGTGGAAGGAGCTAGAGAAAGAGAACAAAGAGTTCTTCGAGGCATATGAGAGAAGAAGAGAAGAAATGCCGACGGAGAAAGAGACAGCTCAAAGAATTCGAGATTTGCTTGCACGAACTAAAATCTAAGATCACGACACCTTCTTACTTATGCGTACACATATATGCATGTATGTGTGTATGTATGTATGAATAAACCGAATTCTATAGTATACTCAATGGGGAATGAATAATTTCATTAATGGGGAAAATGTCATTTCATCTTAAGCACTTGTTACGATACCGAACTTGCACGGTGTTTGTATTAAGTTCATGATTTTCTGTATTTTTTTTTTACTTGTTTGTCTCTACGTATGTTATATCTGTAGTAAATTTTTTTTTTTTGTAAGAAATCTGTAGTAAAAATATATATATATATATATATAACGTTTGGCCCCAAAAACATAGTATATATATAAATATATAACGTTGTTCATAAATAATTAAGATACATAAAATGTAAGCAAAAGGAATACATGATTTGTATACAAATATTTCATTTCCATTAGTGTTTATTGCTTATGAATATAGTTCAAACTTTCTGTCTATATAGTTGACACTTTATCTATGACTATTAATGCATGTGTAAAATGAAAGCAAAAGGAATATAATATATGATTTGTATGCAAAGATTTCATCTCCGTTTATAGCATGACTCATTAATCAGCGGTTAACAATAGTTATTGACTATGACCAGTACCACCAATCCACAATCATTAAGATTAAAAGTTTCATACTGTATCAGTGGTTAAATAATTTGCGATGAAACTATTTAGTTTTTCGCAACCTCGACAGTAATTAGGTTGAGCCGTATTTAATTAAAAGACAAATGCTGGAAAGAAAACTGTTGGAAATACATCAAATGCTGAAAAAACCACGTGGCAAGCACGTGGGAATGTTCGTATACATAGGATTGCGTGCTATGATTTGGTGATGAGACCATCTACAACGCAGGATCTTAATAGATCCTTAGTGTTAGTCCTTAACTGTTAGGGATTAAATTAATATTAAAAAATGAAATTGGCTAAGGATGAATCCTTAACTAAGGAGTTTTAAGGATCAATCCTTGTTGCGCTGGCAAAAGTCTAGCGTGGCTTTCTCTGAGATTGGAAGTTCCTCCAGTTCGGATTCCATGGATTGGTTTGGGGAAAGTGAAGTAGAAGTGGTGAATTTCATTGGGTTGGTCGAAAGGATTCGACTTTGGTTGAGGAAGTGGTTGATTATCGTGGTGAGTCTCTCAAACACACAATCACTCTCCCCCAAGGCCCAAACGCAAACCAGAGAGAATCAAAAACAATCTCCGGCGATTCTCTCGTCTAGCCGACGACTGTCGCTGAGATCCGGCATTCTCAATTAGGTCCGTTTCTTATACTCTCTCTCGTTCATCGTCGCGGTTTTTGAATCTGTGTTTCGTTTCCTCCTCCGATTTTATATATTTCGTTTTCTGGAACATTGAGATTGCCATGGATTTTTGTATAGCTTTCGATTTGGTGTTAACTGTATTTGATCGGAATATTATCAAACTTGATTATGCATCGCTGAAGGCTAATTTAGCTCAATTCTTTTGGACGTATTTGCTAGAACGAAGGGGTTGTGTTATATTATATAATATTAATAGGTACACACACGTTAATGTGCTTTCTTGGATGTGAAACGTGAATGTTTCAGTGAGAAGAACTTCGATTACGCAATATAGTTCCCAAAGTTTTCTCCAATGAGTTGTTGTAGGTCAAGAATATTTTAGATTTTGTTTCCCAAATCAACTGGTGTTTTGAACGTGGCAGCTAGTTTGTTTTTGTTTATTTGATGTTAACTTGTGACTTGCTTGTATATATTTGATGTTTGGTGGGGTTCTTGTAAAAAGAGAACGAGTGATCTTAGCAATGAGTCTTGCTGTTGTTCTTTTGCGTTATGGTTACTAGTCCACTAATGATGTGAATAATCAAACATAGATTGTAAAGGGACAAAAACTTGTATTCTTTAAGCTCTACCCTTAACACTACGACATCAGGGTTTGTTTGTTTTTTTCAGTCAGGTGATATCTAGAAGGCGGTATGTAGGAATCATGTCTGAAGAACAAGTAGGAAACTATGGTGTAAGGTACTTAAAAGCCCATATGGTCACAATAACTTAGCCATCAAAGATACCAAAACTTTTGTTTTACTTTTGCTTATAATTTGATGCGGTTGGGGCTGAATCTTTTGTGTGAGGATTCAGGTTAGTGTTTGATGACTTGCATAGAACAGGGATACCAATAAGACCTTGTTGTGGAGGAATTGTGAGTGTTTTGTTTTTGTTACCTCGATGCCAATATCAATACGTTAAGCGTCAGTTTAAATCAAAGGGTTTATAAAGTGAAAGAGAGATCTTTGTCCTAGAGTAGTATGCAAGAAAAAAAAACTTAAGGATTCCATAATCAATAACACCATTGGAGGAAGATTTGAGTTTGAAGTCCTTAACTATTCAAAAAAAAAAAAAACAAATATTATAATCTTAAGGACTCCAATGGTGGGTAACACCATTGGAGGTGCTCTGAGTACTGTCTTTTTAAAAAAATTGTCAGGGTTAAGGCCAATGTTTGGCCTGTTTGGTGTATAGGAGATTAAGAGTAGTACTCTCTAGTGTTCTTCAAATTCAGATCCGGCGTTTTTTTATTCAGTACCAAGTTTCATTATATATCTAGTTCACTATGCATAGATTAACCATACATACGCATATCAGTATTCACAGGAAATCTTAACCATAATGTCATTACAGATTATAACTTAGGGACATTAGACATGAAGTAAAAGTCTCATTTGCTATCTTGTCAACTGCATCATTCCTTCTCTTGTGTATTAAGTTATTAACTCACCACATAATCCAGATTTTAATTCCAAACATTGGAATATTACTTTCCTCTTCTTTCCAGTTAATCATTTTGGTGAGAGTTAGGGAGGTATGTTTCATTATCCATCTAGTTCACAAAACCGAGATATGGCGTTTTTAGTTTATTGATTGGATTATTCTTTATTAGTATTATTATTTTTTACTAGCTAGAAATAAATAATAGTGAAGAATACATCAATATCATATACTAGAGATGGTGAATCTAGTATATAGATTGGTTTGATATAGTATAGTTCAATTTGATTTAATATGGTCCACAAGTTGTATTTTCAAAAGATAAGACATTATGATGTAAGAAACTCATGAGTTTAAATATAAAGGAAAACTTAACTACATATACCAAGCACACTATAACAGAACTAATAAAGTTGATCAAATAAAAAAACAGAACCTAATAAACATCTATAGTACTCTGCAAATGACACTAAAGTCGAAGAGTATTGGTTTACAGATCTTTATGGTTTAGATGTTAACTCACCTATCAAACCAAATAGAACGAATACCTAGTTCATTTTGTTGATCTCGGACCTATGCTTTATAAGACACTTTCTCACGATGGAATGGAATAAATGATTCTCAAACTGGCTTCTCCTTTACAAATTACAACATTTGCTAAAATCAAAAGGACAAACAAGTACTTAAATGTGAAAGTCAGTAAATCTTGTTTCTCTAAATTAGATTCGAATTTGGTATCATTTTCTTTTTTAGTTTGTATTGTCGCAAAATGAAAAAAAAAAAAAAAATCTTTGAAGGAAGAAATTTAAATGTTAGAAATTAAGCAAACAAGAGGAAAAGAAAGAGATGTCAACAACAACACAAGGAGAAAAAGGTTTAAACGACAACGTACTTTGGAAACACCAATGAATACGACGCAATGTAATGTAGTTCCAGCTTCCGAGCTCTTTGGCATGCAGGTTCAATTATAAATATAAATTTTTGTTTATAATTCAAAAAATGCTTTCGACGGTCCAGTTTATTTGCGTAACCTTCGCATATACTTGTTCGAACGTTAACATCTCAGTTTTGGTCAATCTTAGTGGCATTCATTAGTTTGCACTCTTGCATGCGGGAATCAAAACAAAAGTTCGTAACCACAAGTTCACGAGTATAAGACGAAGATATAACTAGAGTTATCAATGAAAAGAAAAATCAACAAATGACGGGGTTTTGTCTCTTTGTTATTCATTTATTAGTTTTGTTTTGTATTTGAGCAATGCTGATGTTGGTGGTAACCTAAAGAGGAATAATCTTTTCAGACGTCGTGACAAATTAGGTTTATTAGAATGGAAACTAAATGGTTAAACCTATTGTTCTAAAATTTGGTCGTGGACAAAAAAATTTTGGTCTGTCTAGGCGCTAGACAATCTTCATCCGTTTTAATTTATGCCATATCAGTGATTAAAACCAAACAGTCTGATTTCAGTTCATCTAGACAATTTAGATGACCGCCTAATCATCTAATTTATTTTTTAATAATATTTATTTATTTATTTTATCTAAAATTTGATAAATGTAATTTATATTCAAATTTTAATGAAAATTATATGATTTTAAATTTATATATTCTATTTGTGTGTGTTTATGTGGTTCTGTTTATGTGGTTCTAAACATGAAAATGTATAATGTTATACATAACTAAAGATTAACATATTTTATAACATAGAAAATAATTTAAAAATTCAAGTGAATAATGTTTTTTGAATCTCTCAAAATTCAATATTTAAAAAAAAAACCAGTGAATGATGTTTTTTGAATCTCTCAAAATTCAAAGGTATCAATTCACTAACCCCTTTCATGATCCTTATAGTAAGCCCATTAATATTATAAAGCTCATTAGTTTAAAATTCAAAGTTTATTTAGATGACAAAGGCCCAAAATATTTCAGTCCTTTCTTCATCCTTGTCGTTGAAGGTCTCTCCGGCTTTAGCGACAACGGCGTCTTTTGCAGGCACACAAAATTAAGGTTTTGAAGTAGTTAGGATTTTCCAAGAGAGTTAGCGATAAGCATTTGATCTCAATACAATACGAAGAAGGTTCTCGCGAAAAAGAGGGAACTTTTATAGGAAGTTTCAGTATTTGAAACGCATATAGAAAGATGGAAACTTTTTCAAAAGGTTATGATAAAAGGACGAACTGACTTATTATTATCATTACCGACGGCTATTACATAGTCTTTGGTTTCTGCATACTTGCAGTACGAAGATTCAGAACAAAGTCTCGGTCTTGCTTGCAGTATTTGGTGGCCCCACTGGTTCAGAATGAAGAAAACTGTTTATGGTTTCTGCCGGAGGAGCTTCGTGTGCAGACTGGAACAGACCCTTGGTTTTGCTTACGGTACTTGGTGGCTTCACAGGCACAACATGATGCAAAGGTTTAGTGGTTTCTGCCGGAGGAGCTTCGTGTGCAGACTGGAACAGACCCTTGTTTTTTCTTGCGGTATTTGGTGGCTTCACAGGTACAACATGAAGCAAAGGTTTAGTGGTTTCTGCCGGAAGAGCTCCAGGTGGATTATCTGAGCTTCCAGAAGATGGTCCGGTCCGGTACAGACCTTTAGTTTGGTCCGGAAGGCTAGTCTTGGTTGCTGCATCATGCGCACTAGCGAAGAGGAGGAGACTAAGTGATATGACGAGAACTATAGTGAGTTTTGTCATTGCTAGCTAGTTTGAAAACTGTGAGATTTTGTTGATATGGGTTCAGGGTTTTATATACTGTATAAAACCACCTCTTCTGTTAAACAAGTAATAGTAATTGAGGTTTTACAGTCTCGGATAAAAAAGGATCACAGTCATTAAAAACTTGTGGTTAAAGATGCGTGTCACTGTCACTAGTTACTCTTATCTTATTTTACACTGGCTCTAGTGGCTCCCGTATTATTTGTTAAGTAATTGGTATGTAGATTATGAAGACTTTGGGAAGTCATAGTTCAGGTCTAGAGTCTTGCAGAAGCCTCCTCATCTGTTAAAAAACGAATACTAGTTGAGGTCTAGAGTCTTGGATACACATGCCAACTCTTTAAAAGATTTGTGGTTAATGATGCGTGTCACTGTCACTCGTTACTCCTATTTTACTCTGGCTACCTACCATAATAATCCGCTAAACTACTATTGGCTGAATAGAGTAATTGGTGGGTAGATTATGCAGACTTTGGAAAAGGAGCTGTAAACCTATTTTAAACAGAATCCTGCAGAGCCTCATCTTTTGTTCAAAAATGGAATAGTAGTTGAGGTTTCACAATCTTGGATGATAAAGGATCACATCTTCTGTTCTAAGTTTAAACGATAAGTGTCACACTGTCACTGTACTCAATGCCTCTAACCTCTAAAAGATCCAGTTAATCTGCAATACTTAACATACGTGTATGTTAATCTATGCCGGACAGTACAGCCCATTCATTTACTAAGCCCATTAGATTAAAAAGCCCAAACTAAAACGACGCGTTTCGCTACGCTTAACAGTATCTCATTTCTTTTGCTTTGGTATCTTCTTCTTCCATCTTTTAATCTCACCGCCGTCGTTAGGGTTTATCATCAGAGGAGCCGAACCTATGGCGTCTCTAGCCAAGTTTCACTACTGTCTTCAACCACTCCACCTCAAACTCAACAATGGTCACAGTAGTCTCCAACCTAAACCTAATTCATACCAAATCCTCCAAAAGCCTCCTCCCTCACGCGCCATTAGAGCTTCATCATCAAACCCTAAACCCTCTCTCCTCAAAAAAACCTGCGTAACTCTCACAACAGCCGCCGCCTTATTCTCCGCCTCCCTCCACCTCTCCACCAAACCCGCCGCCGCAACCCCTCCTCCTCCACCTTCATCCACAATCGAAACTGACCAAATCTCATCTGAAGAAGCATCCCTCGAGAAGCACCTCGCAACCAACCCCAACGACCTGGAATCTCTCCAATCCCTAATGAAAATCAAACTCCAATCGAAGAATCTCGACCAAGCGCTGGAGATTCTAAACCGTCTGATCTCGCTCGACCCCGAGGAGCAAGAGTGGCGGATCTTGAGAGCTCAGGTGCAGACCTACGGCGGAGATTTCGAGTCCGCGACCAAAGGATTCGAGGAGATTCTAGCTAAAGATCCTCTCCGCGTCGAAGCTTATCACGGACTCGTTATGGCGTACTCAGATTCAGAGTCTAAGCTCTCGGAGCTCGAGAGGAGAATCGGGGAAGCTATGGAGAGGTGTAAGAAGGAGGATAAGAAGAAGGATTTTAGAGATTTTATGCTTTTGATTGCGCAGATTAGGGTTATGGAAGGGAATCCGAGTGAAGCGCTTAGGGTTTATCAGGAGCTGGTGAAAGATGAGCCTAGGGATTTTAGGCCGTATCTGTGTCAAGGTTTGATTTATACGTTGATGAAGAAGAAGGATGAAGCTGAGAAGCAGTTTGAGCAGTTTAGAAAGTTGGTTCCTGAAAATCATCCCTATAGAGAGTATTTTGATTCTAATATGCTCAATACCAATAAGCTTTTCGCTAAGAGTTAAGGTTGAGAGTTTGAGTTTTGTTGGATGCTTTAGTTATCTTTGTAGTTTGTAGCTTTGTACGTCATTACTCAAAACTTATCTTCATCAGATTGAAAGTCTACATCTTTTGTTATTGGATGATGATTCAAAGTATACTTCACAGATTTTCTTCACAACTTAGAAGAAAACAGAGAGAAACTACAGAGACTACTTGTGTTTTTAAAGATAACAACCCAAAGCCCATGATACATGATACAACTCTTTGTGTGACCTTCAGCAAAGTCGTAAGTATAGCTCAGGTTTTGACAGTGATCTCACAGAAGCAGAAACTAAGCATACAACAAGAAGAAGTTGTTGCCGCTAGATCTCTGTCCCAAGAAGAATCACAGAACCAGAAACTAGCTCACACTTGAAAAAAAAACAGAAACTAGCTCACACTAGAAAAAAAACAGAAACTAGTATCACATGGTCTATAAAAAAGTCAGTGATCATGATTCAACAATCACGTGACTATAAATTGAACACTTTTTTGAATGAATATAAATTGAACACTTGTATGTGTTACATGTCCATTCAGTGTAGCACCAAGTCAGGAAGAGAAAACATAGTTGCAAATGACGTAAAGAAGAGAGAGCTCAGCATGAGGAGAGGACATACAAAATTTTCCGTACAGAACCTGAGAGTAAATTATCACAAAAGGAGAGATGTTCTTATAAAAAAAACAGAGCGACCACAGTGGGAGTCGAACCCACGACCTTTTGATCCGAAGTCAAACGCGCTAATCCACTGCGCTATGCGGTCTGGTTGATAATGCTTTCTCAAACTTTATAGAGTTTTGTCTGTTGACTTATAGAGTGTGTCTTCATGTTTGGCGTGCGTAAACAGCGTGGCACCATACTTGTCCATGCAACTGGAAGTTTTAACTGATTAGCTTAATCATCAATACTATGTCAAAGCAAATAAAAAAAGATATAAGATAAAATTAAAACTTTGAACAAGAAACGTCAACAAACACGGTCGTTTCCCTACTATTATTCGTCATTTGAGACCCACACAACAGGGCAACGTGAAGCAAGAATGACGAGTTCACCCGTTTTCGCCGCTGTCATCTCGCTACTCCTAGCTACTCTCGCGGTGGCTGAGATTAAGTTCATCACCATCTCCGATGATTCTCGGCCAGTAATCCTCTTACAGAAATTCGTTGTTACTCAGACCGGTCATGTAACCATCTCTGTTTCCTCTGTTTCTACTTCGAGTCAGGACTGGTCAAGGAAAGGGTTCTACCTTGTAGAACAAGAATCGGTTCTACAAGTAGACATCGAGCTCCAGCAAAACTCTAGCTTCTGCGTACTCGACTCACACAAAGTCCACCATATCGATCAGTCATATCAAATAACCTCCCCTGGAGATTACTCTCTCTTCTTTGCTAATTGCGTACAAGGAACTAAGGTTTCGATGAAGTGCAAAGCAGAGATGTGCAAACAGAGATACTTACCAGCCGGGTCAACCCTACTACCCGGTTTGTTTTTCGTCTGCTCCCTCTGCTACTTGACTTTCTTTGGTCTCTGGGTCTATCTATGCTACAACAAGAAGCAAAAGATTCACATATTAATAGCTGCTCTGCTTCTAATGAAATCCCTAAGTCTTCTGTGTAACGCTGAGGTTAAATACTACGCGAAAACCACAGGCACGCCTCACGGCTGGAACATATCTTTCCATGTTTTCCAGGTCATTGGAAACGTTATGCTCTTCATGGTGATTGTTCTAGTCGGAACAGGTTGGTCGTTCGTGAAACCTATGCTACAAAAAAAGGAAAAAAAGTTATTGATGATGATTATCCCGTTTGAGGTTATATCCACCAATGCTTTGATTGTGATTGGAGGGACCGGACCATATGTCCACAACTGGTTACTTTGGACCTACGTCTTCTTGTTTGTGGAGATAGCTTTCTGGGTGGCGATGAGATGTGTAATAGATTTGTGGATGTTTTGCGTAAGAAAGATATCAAGAAAAGCGGTCACCTCACCATGTTTTGGGAACTTCTACAGTTTGCTTTTTGTGTATCTGCGTTTGACAAGGGTCGGTGTGCGTGCGTTGAAGAAGATTGTTGGTTATAAGTATCAGTGGGTGAGTAATGCAGCTGAGATTGTAAGTCTTGCCTTTTATGCATTGATGTGGTATTATATGTTCAGGCCAATGGAAAGGAATGGGTACTTTGATGTTGAAAAAGAAGAAGAAGAAGAATTGTTACAGAACTTTGCCCTAGAGGAAGATCGAGTTTGAGCTCTGAAGCAATTTATTATCTATTTAAAACAAATTTATATAATAGTATCAGCTTCTTAGAAAATAAGATATTTCTTATGTATTAAGTTGTTGTCTTGAAAATATATTTTTGTATTATAAATTTAAAATTAAGATATTAAAAATTGTAGTTATTCTTATGTAGTTTGTTGTTATCTTGAAAATATACTTTTATATTATATAATTTAACATAAAAATAGAAAATTATCTATTCTTATGTAGTATGTTGCTGATTCATTAAGTTCTCAATGATTTTAGGTAATTTTAATTATATGTCATAATTTTTATAATCTTATATAATTAAAAAAATATCTTATTATATTTTTAGAAAATAAATAACTTATGCAGTATATTGTTATCTTTAAAATATGTGTTCTATTATAAAATTAAAATTAAGATATAAAAATTAAAATTAAATAGAAATTAAGTAAAAAATTTGTATAAATATTATAATTAAATATAAATCAAGCAAAATAATTATAGAAATATATTATTTTAAATATTTCTGAAGTTTGAGTTTTGTCATTAATAATTATTTGATGTTTGATTTTTACTTTTTCAAAACATAAATATTAACTTATTATGCTAATTTTTAAATTAATGAAACATCAACTAATGAATATTTATAAGAGAATTATGCCCGCAAGTGCGGGCAAAACACCTAGTACACTTGTAATAATTAGGAATTTTTAGATCTTCTCTCTTAAACAGTGCGTTAAGGCCTGCTTGATTAATAACCACATAATTTAAATAAATAATTCGTCAAGCTCAGATGACCTCAGTTTATGATAATCTCCACCGAAATACCAAACCAAATCTGATCCGAAAATGTATGTTAAATATCCGAACGGATTTAAAAGTTGAACCAAAGCCGAATTCGGTCCGAATCGAAATACTTTGGCTACCTGAATATATCCGAATCAAGTTTATATACTTGAATATATTAGTTATTTGTCGCTGTAACATCAAAAACATATAAAAAATGTATAAAATATTTTGAGGTTGTCCAAATATAGTTGAAAATATATATAAAAATAGTCAAAAGTAAATATTTAAATTTAAATTATATATGATTTTTAAATATAAGTTAAATGAGATATCGGAACCTAAACCACATCGGCAAAGATTCGAACCGAATCCGAACCAAAATTTTAGAAATACCTGAATGAAATTGAAATCTCTAATCCTGAAAACCCAAAACCCGAATAGATCAAAACTGAACCGAATAGATACCGGAACGCGCATCCATGCCTTCACCCATCGAGCTCTTTTAGAGTTGAAGTGGTTTACTAACACTCGTTGGGCCTTTGAAGTTAATGGGCCATTTTAAGTCAACCGTTTAATACACGTATGACGTATGCTTTATCTCTTTGTCCAAAACAGGAAAAATAGATATAAATGTAACCTGGAATCCGCACCGTTGGTTTTTAAAGAAGAGAATCTGGACCGTCAGATAGTTCCTTTCTTTAATGTGAGGGGGATGCGGATTAGCTCAGTTTTCTCAAGGTAAAGGTCAATCTCGGCGACGGATCTCAAGGTACTCTCCTTCTCTTCTATTCGATTGCGATTTTTTTTTTTCAAATTAATTCAATACTCTCGATGAATACCTTTGAATCCTTTGGGAGGAGTTTATGCTTCTCGTCATGGAATTTGATTGATCTGATGAATTGTTAATTGAGTTTTTCGATTTTGGGGAAAAAGGTTATAAATTTTGATGCTAAACTTCACAAAGATGAACAATTCACAAGTTTCATATATCAATCTGCTATTGAGTAACAAGTTTGGAGTCGTTACATTACATTACAAGAGCTTTGTCTCATGATCAACTAAAAACCACTGTTTTGTTTTTATTTGTTTTGTTATAGGATAAAAAGATGCCTCGTTATGAAGATCGTCACGGAAGCACGCGACTCTATGTTGGTCACTTGTCCTCTCGAACACGGACTCGTGATGTTGAACGTCTCTTTAGCAAATATGGAAGGTAATAATCTATCATGAGCTTCAAGCATTTTGGCTTTATCTGGATTTCATTTTTTATGTGCTTCATCTCAACACTATCATTGTTGAGATATAGCATAAACCTTGTTTTACTATCCACATTGTAAAACAAAAAATTTGCTTTCTGTTGATGCATAAATCTGAATCGATTCAATCTTGTTCCTTCTCGTGTAATGGACCTAACCTAAGGTTTTGAAGGTTTTCTTGGATATTTGCCTTACAAGAACTTTAGAATGTTTTTTTTTTTTAATCGGAATAATGTTGTTGAAGGTTTTCTTGGATATTTGCCTGACTTGGAGGTGTTTGTGGTGAGAGAGAGAGAGAGAGGGGGTTGGTCTCCTTGGTGGATATTCTTTGATGCTGTTTAATGGGACTTTTTGGCGCTTCTCTATTTTTGTGTGTGTTGATTTGGTGAAAACTGGCTACAAAATCTGGTGTTTTGTTCGATGGTGAAGTAGCACTACTTAGACAAAATTATGATGTTGATGATGATGATGATGATGATGATGATGGCCTTACTGTTTCTGCCAAACCAATTTCCGCAGAGTACGTGATGTTGATATGAAGCGTGACTTTGCCTTTGTCGTAAGTAGTTCTTCCACTTCTTAACCTCCTGACCTTTTTTTAGCTCAATTTTTATGTTAACCATCCATGATTGTCTCTTTTTGTTTGGTCTTCTCTGTTTCTCACCTTTTGATGACAGGATTTTAGCGATCCCAGAGATGCTGATGATGCAAGGTACCGCTTAGATGGAAGAGACGTTGATGGAAGCCGCATTGTTGTTGAATTTGCTAAAGGGGTAAAATACTCTTTATCCATATGCTTTGTGTATGTCGGTTCTGAAACAAGTTCTTAAAACGTTGTATGTCATATATATATATGGATAGATACCGCGTGGTTCTGGTTCTGGTTATGGTTCTCGAGAGATATCTTCAAGCAGAGGAGGACCTCCTCCAGGAAGTGGGCGCTGCTTCAACTGTGGTCTTGATGGACACTGGGCTAGAGATTGCACCGCTGGTGACTGGAAGAACAAATGTTATCGATGTGGCGATAGAGGTCACATTGAGAGGAACTGCAAGAACAGTCCCAAGAAGCTCAAGTACATATACACACCTTTCACCCTTAAAACAATGCTTTGTTGTTGTGTGTTTTTTGTCTTTTTGATCGTTCTTTTCTGTACACAGGCGGGACCAAAGTTACTCGAGATCACCAGTTAGGTCTCGATCACCTCCTCGTCGTAGAAGAAACCGCAGCAGAAGCAGAAGCAGAAGTCCAAGCTACAGGTTTATATTTTCTTTATCAAATTTATTAACATCACTATTAGCTCTCAGTATACACAACACTGTATTCACTTTTGTTTCTTCTTTCTCACTCTGGTTCTTAGTCGCTCAAGATCCCCGGTTAGGACTGAAAAGGCACGGACACCTGAACCAGCTGCAAGGAGTAGAAGCCCTGAACCAACGGTGCTTAACTCACCTCCACTCAAAGATAGAAACCATAGCCTAAGTCCCAATGCAGACAGCCCAATGCGTGAGAACAACGGTCAAACCCCGAAAGATGAAGAAAACGGCAATGGAACCAATGGACAAGAGCACAGTCCTAGAGACGAACCCAGTCCCTGAGACAGTAAGTATTCACAAAATAGTGAAGAAACTACGCTTCAAACAATTTGATCAACTTGCGTTTTTTATAAGACTTGTAATGCTTTCCTTACAGACCTGTATGGTATGGATTATTATTGTTTTGTGTTTGTTGATTTCACATTATATGACTCACTCTGTTTTATTTTTCTCCCCTTTTTCATAAAGATATTGTACTTTTGAAAGCTTCTCGTCTTATATACAGATAAATTTGAGTTCAAGAAAGACTAAAAGTCTCTGTTCATAGTTTTTGTAAACTTATTTTCTCAACGTGTATCTAATATTACCGTTAAGTGAAAGCTAAGGTCAATGTTACCGTTAGTCTAAGAAATAATAATAAAATTTCCTATTTTATTCTTTTATTACAATGTCTACATCATCCAGACAAGCTGTCGAAAGTGTAAAAGCTTTTTATTACAAACTTAAAGAACAAAGATGGATCAGCTTTTGAGAGGCAAAGTAGCTCTGTCTTTTTTCTCTCTAAATAAAAATCGCCAGTCACTTTAGGGGTAGAGGCTCTGCAGATGTGGGCGACGTCGCTGTAACCTGTAGCAGTTCTCCACCCCCCTTCGGACAACGAGCAGCAAGACGGAATCTGACCGGAGAACCATCGGTGTTCATCGTAAGCATACTTCCTTTTCCTTTTGCTTTCTTTCCCTCTCAACCCATATACATACCTTCTCTGTTTGTTGATTTTGCTGTCTCTGTTTCCGATTGCCCTTTTTTACGGATGATTAATAATATCTTTCTCTGTCTCTGTGTTTCTTTATTACACAACATAAAAAGCATTGATTGTTTTTTTTTCTTCAGTTAGGTGATAAAAAGAAGAGCAAGAAGAAGAAATGGAAGCTCTGGAGGACTTCATTAGCAAGAGAGTTTCATATCTTCCTCCTCCTCAAAAGTAAAGTAGTTACGGCACTCCCTTCCCTGTGCTCAGATCCACCGCCGTCTTTCTCTGCCGACGATTCTTTGCTGGCTGCGTCTCTATTATAAGAGCTCCTCCAGTGACTCTTTCCTGAGGGTACACTGTGAGACTCTCTTTCCCTGTTCATAATTTTTGCTTAAACCATTGGGTTGTTGCATGTAACATATTATAGATGTGGATGATGGTTACAATCAGTAGTTATCTTTACTTTTTTTTTCAAAGTTAGAAACATTTAATCAAACACTTAATGAAAACTTTTGCTGTCAATGTTTGCTATAGGAAACAGGCAGATGTGGCACTAAGGTGTATGTATGCAAGCTCTTGCCCGAGTCCAAGCTCATTGCTCCTTCAGATGGACAAGATAACCATCTGAGCAAAAGGATGATGGATGTTCCATGCTAATAAGCAAGCTGAGGTAATGATAATACTATCAGATAAGGACATGAAGTTTTGAGACTTGCTAAATTTTAGAAACTTTGCATTATGTTTTGTGTAGATGGGTTGGTGTGACAGCAACCCGAAAAAGTGTAAATGAAGTGAGAACAAAATGAGGCAAGAAGGAGCAATCAAGAAGAGAGAGAGCTATAGTATATGCACTCACACACCAGGTATAATAATGGGTCCAAAAGTTTTAAAATTGACTCTCTCTCTCTCTCAAAGACATTTATTTGTGTTTACTGAGTTTGTCTATATTTTGATAGCCGAGGAGGACATGTCCAAGTCCAAACGCTAAGGCAACAACCAAACAAGGGAGTGTGTGGCGCCTCCTCTCAGGAAAACAATCAACAAGGTATGTTGTCGGTCCAATTAAATTACATTATTATTAGCATTTTCAACTTTATTTCTGTAATCAACCTGAAAACATATAATAGTCTTATATTCTATGAATTAGATTTCTGGGAACCTAAAATGGGCGGTTTTAGCAGACTTTTTTTGTTGTGTCAATTTTGGTCCAGGATGTGGTGAAAGGCAAGCCCCTGCAATACACAATAGAAGGAAGAACCAAGGTTGTTATTAACCAATAAAGAACATCACACACTTTTTTTTGGAAGGTAAAGCATCTGGTTTCTCTACTACTTCAGTACTAGATTGTTGTCATGGCTTGTTAAAAAT